TGCGTCCTGTGTCTCCTGAGCACATATTTGCTGTCCCCTACCTGACTGCCCACACATGTTCGCTCTTTGTTTTTGTTGACCCCACCACTGTCTACAGTTCATTTACCCGATCTTAAGAACTAGCTGTTCCTAAGAATTTTTAAGAGAAGTGCAATTTGTTCCTAAAACACCAATGTTTTAAAAAATAGGATATGTACATCTTAATGTTTTTAAACAAAACATCTGCTTTTCAATGTAAATTAATCCCAATTGTTTCCCCCTGGGACTACTAGCCTGTACTGGGAGCTCTGGGCTTGGGTCTAAGTTAAGTGCTCTGGGACGCTGCAATTTTCGAGTTCCCCTGTTAACGACCTGCAGTCTTACAACCTGTCCTTGCTTGCGTTTAGTGTGCTGTCACTGCTCTCTGAAGCTCTGAATTCCTGAAGCAATAGCCACCCTCTGTTAGGCTGACTGTGGCGTGGGTAACCGGGACTCTACCTTTGTAGAACTGATTTTTTTGGAAAAGAATGGGGTGTGGGTAGATGAGGGCTGAAGAAGTAATGGGGTCGCGGGAGAGAATGAAATAATGCTTTGAGCAGCCTGCCTGGCTTTCTTGCAAATTCCAAGCTGGGTTCGAACCGCCCAGACTGGCACAGTGCTGGCTGAGCACAGGACTAGGTAGTTCTCCCTCCTTCCACACAGAGTGACCTTACCAAGAGCACTCACTCAGAGCTGCCCCCTGGACATGCATGAATTTACTTAAGCTTAGTTGAGATAAATCTAGGTATGGAGAAAGATAGTTAAAATAACGGTCAGTCACCAGACAGAAAGCAAAGCCCAACACGGAGCTATGAACTACATGACCCCCTCAGCACACCTTGATCTATGACTGTACCTGTGAAAAGATGACCAACATGAAAACGAGATGCCCTCTTCACAAGGCACATACAGCACAATAGTGACAACCTATTGAAGGCTCACTCTAATGGTGGAGTAGATGTTAAGTCACAACGATGAATTGCATTTAGGAATTTACTCAAATTTCCACATGTTGTAAACTGTCACAGACTTAAACAGAATTTTCTTTTTCCTTCCAAGCATTTTCATATTTTATGATTTTATATTAGATTCTAAACATCTGCATATGGCTAATAAACGTAGATTTCCCCCTGAACACACAATTCTGATAAAATCGAACAAAAAGAAAGAAAGAAAAAGAGACGCTAAGATTTCCTTCAGGCCAAGGACACACCACACATGGCTGGTATAAAGTGTTGTAATTGTAGCCTTCTCTCACTTGTGACTTACTTGAAGGAAACCCACGGAAGGTTGACCTTCTGTGACCTGGAAGGCCTCTGCCCTGCGACCTTTCCCGGTAGGGATTACGACATGCTTTCAGAAACCACAAGCCATGTTTGCTATTTATTAAAATCACGTGGGAAAGAATGCCTAAAATACAATCAGATTACCTACTCTTTTGGATTACATTTACTAATGTTCCCTTTTATTACAGATAAATGGGAACCGGCTCTGGTCAAGCCTTTCTGTGCAAGTTTTTTTTTTTTTTAAAGACTAGAAGAATTCCTGAAAACAATTTTTAAAAATTGGACATGAAACCAGAGACAAAAGTCTGAAATAAAATTCTTCCAATCTGGAGCCACGTTTCTTAGTGTAAGGAATGATGCATTTCCTAGGACTTATTCTGGGTACACTTTTTGCTTTGAGCTTTGTTTGCTTTTTGCAACAGCATTTCAGAGAAAACCAACTGACCACTTACAACCTCAGCAAGGGTTTTGGGGTATGATTAAGAAACGCACCTGGCCTCACTCGAACAACACGTTTGTTTAACCTGGTGACTTTCCTGTGTCTGGGGTCAGGCAGGAGCAATCTGGGCTGGGGGCAGGAAAGAGTGATATAGCTGACTCACCAAGAACAAAACGGTCGCGCTGGCTACCCCTGTAATTAGAACCGCTTTAACAGTTTCTAGGAGGCAAGGCTAGCATTTAAATGACCCACTATAATTTGGGAAGAAATCCCAGGAAATCAGGCCAACTTTGGAGCAGGAGTGGCATTTTTTAGTTTACTCAGCATGATGAACCCACTGAATGCTGAGTGTTCCTCCCCTGGGACAAATGTAGGTCAAGGAGAAAATTAACTCTAAAGGGGTTTAGCCAGCAAGGAAGAGAATCGGAGCATGCGCTCCCCGGGGCAACGAGGGTTCATTTTACTTTTGCATCTTTCTTATTATGGAAAATTTCAATCATATGACAAGATACACAGGAGAAGCCACCACAAGCCCATCCCTCACCATTGTTGATCAGCAGTTGTCCCTCTTATTTCACTGTCCCAACTCACCCCCTCTTTGACTTTCAGAAAGCAAATCGCAAGCAACTGGTTTGTGCTTTGTAGAAGCTTTCATTTACAATTGTGTTTTTCTGATGATCACTCCAGCGAGCTCATTGAGCATGAGATGTTAGAACCAACGTTAACCACACCTTGTAAAATGTTTTTACAATAAAACCTATCTGCCTAGAACTAATTTGCTTGAATGTAATTGGGTAATTAAAATGACAAAGTAACTTGAAACACAACCCTCTATTATTTTATTTATGGGGAAAAACAGCATGCTAAATTGAGAACACAGTGCCTGTTACTTTATATGGTTCCAGTCTTGGTGGACAGGCCAAACAAGAGAAGTCGTCAAGAGTAACCTGGTTAGAATTGCCTGAATGCTGCCTGAGAAAATGGGAGGAGGTTACAAAGGGCCCAGGGGCTGCCTACAACAAAAGTTCCCTTTTTCCTTCACTACACACACACACACACACACACAATAAGAAACAGAAAGCCAACAGACCAAACCTGGAGCTTCAGAAATCACTCATCAAACAACCTACCTACTTACAATAATTTATTACCAAGGTTAAAGCAAAGATCAAAGGGAACTGCATCCAGCAGGGACATCCAACTCTTCATTGCCTGATGACTAATTTGTAGGGGAATGAAGTCTTCACAAGAGAAGCCAAAATAATCGGAGGTGACTTTGATACAGTGCCACAAAGGATATGAAGAGGAAGCCAGGAGGGCTGCAGATGGCCAGGTTCCATCAGGAGTTCTAATAAAAGAGTCGTGGAATTTCCCTGAACTGCAAATTCAGGAATGTTAGAAGTGGGCAAAAGTTAGGCAAGCCAGGCAAAACCTTTGATATGTCACAGCCTGCGTGTGTGTGTTGCTGGGGCTAAACGCTAACTTTAGCCAGTGCTGGGGTTAATTAAAGGCTTTATCTCCCCCCCCCAAAGGCAACAGCCTATCAGTAATCTGGCCAGTCGGGTTCCTTCTGCTGTTGCATTACCCATCAGCCTGCTCCGACCCCGGCATGGTCAGAGGTCACTGGCCCTCTCAGTCACCAACAAAGTTCTATGCTCTGCAAAGTGACTGATTTAGCTTCAAAAATGTTAAGTTGAAATGACTGTGTAATGTTTTGAACAACCAACATTAAAAAAAAAAAAAAAAAAAAAAGAAATGATTTAGTGTTGTCTGGCGCTACGGTCATGCTCAGCATAAACATCTTTTACAAATTTCTGGTTCTTAAGTCAATGGTCACTTTAGAAACACCAGAAACCATTCAGTTCTCTTTGCTTCCATGAGCAACTGGCATGAGCACCTCCTCCCGAGGCAGACAACTCTGCTCCCAGCTGAGGAAAGTGGCCTTCACACCACTTATTTTGGCTAGTTAAACAATCCCCACCACATGTCTGCCTATAATTTCATAGAATAAGATTTCAGTTTATATTAGCATTTCAACTGTGCACATTTTTCGTTTGCTCCTGAAATCACCTCAAATTAGCAGATTTATTGGAACCTTACTTAGCTCAGAAGCTTAACACGAGTCTTACAGATCTTGTGATATATTCCCATGAAGAGTTAAGCATTTTCTCAAAAATGAATTAAAGTATGTGATTTTTTTTTATAAGGGAGTCCTTATCTTTCATAAATAAATAGTAAAATACTTAGAAATCTGGGAACTCTTCAAATGGGGAGGGGATGGAAAGCGTGGGTATAAAATGAAGCAAGAATGACCGAAAGTCTTCATAAAGCAGGCCATGGTACATGGAGGCCATGAAAGTTTTTGGTCTTATTCTGTCCAGCAAAACTTTCTTTTTAAAATCTGTTTATTTATTTATTTATTTTTGTGCTAGGGATTGAACCTAGGGGTGCTTTACCAGTCAGTCACATCACCAGGTCTTTTAATTTTTTTTTTTTTTTTTTTTTTTAAATTTTGAGACAGGGTCTCACTAAGTTGCTTAGGGCCTCACTAAATTGCTGGGGCTGGCCTTGAGCTTGTGATCCTCCTGCCTCAGCTTCCCGAGTCACTGGGAATACAGGTGTGCACTACCACACTGGCCCAGCAAAACTCTTAATAGTAAAACTCTTAATAGTAAATATTTCAGATATAATGCTGCACACTTTTTGTAAGGATTATCATTTAGGAAAATAACAACCAGAGCAACTACCTTTACCAATCTAAAAACCTAGTTTACTCACTGGACTGTTTGGAAATAATACACAAAACTAACCAAAAACAACAACTATAACAACAAAATAGAAAAAACCAAACAAATACCCCAAATCTGTCTTTTCAGTTTTTGAGATGTCACTGGCATGTTGATAATTTTTTTTGGCGGTATTAGAGATAGAACCCATGTGCTAAGCAAGTGATCTACCACTAAGTGACAGTCCCAGCCCTATCAATGGCTTTTAATGTAAATGAAATATAATTATTTAAGTTTAGAAATTCAAATTTTCTGTTATCTTTATAGGCATTGACAATTTAAATTGAAACATAAATTTAACAGGTAAGTGTACTTTAAAATAAGCATACATTGGTAAAAACTGTGCTCCATGTTCAGAAAGACCTCAGTCTGAAGGTATCATTACTGAATACAATCCTGGAGGTTTTCATATTAAAATGCCAATCATCACCAATAACCAACACCCGAGGCATGACAGCGTGCTCCTCTTACCTTGTGATCGTACGGACTGTAGGAGTGAAACACCCGAGAAAGGTCTTTGGTCCTCTGTTTCTTCTGTGGAAGAAAAAGATAAGCGTTGAGGTTGATGGTGGCACAGTCCACACCAGGCACACAAGCCTGCATCCATCTGTACAGACATTTATTCAGAGATTCTTCCTTTGTGCAAGCTGAGGGGACACATGGGTAAGAGCAGAAACCAGTGACGTGATGGTCATGCAGATCACAGTCACAAAGCGGCTGTGCACCCTCTTTCTAAGTTTCAAAATTAAAACCAATTATCATCAAAAACTATCCCAGAATGCATGACTCAGAGACTGAAAGAAAAAATAGTAAAAATAAAGAAAACTCAACATGCATTTTGGTCACTTTTGATTTCACTGTAGCAACAAGTGCTCCTCCTCAGAACTGGACACATGCATCCCCTTGGAGGCTCTGCCACTCGGTTCCTTGGCACAGCCTGAGCCTGTCTGCCCGAGTCCACAAGGTGAAAGCACTTTGTTCTTTCTCTGCTACAGAGCCCAGGTGCTGTGCACAGTGTCCCTTACAGTAGGCACTCAATAAACGTTGGCTAAATTAATGAATAAGTACATCTGAATTATACACATGACCTGACATCTGTAATGATGAGCACCTTTCAAGCTGAATAGCGCTATTCAAGTCCCCTGTCCACCTCGTAAAACAAGTGGGAAATGTGGGCGTCTCTCATTACAGCCAACTAGAGCCATGGCTTTCTTTCTCCTCCACTGTGACCTGCCCACCCCACAACCACTACGAACAGCTTTGTGCCCGGGGCCGAGTCTTCCACGTGTCCATGTGTGCACGCACACATTTTTAGAATGGATACGAAACGTTCTCAGCTGCTGATAATTTATTCTACGTAATTGTTTTCCATCATAGAATTAGCCCGCTGCCACATCTTAAAATTCTGTCATGAACGCGGTCGTCCACGTGTCCTTAACACTGCCCCTGTCCTGCTTCTGCTTCTCCTCTGATCTTCCAATCACCAGGTGCTGGGGCTGCTTCTGTCTGGCTTGGGAGAGACTCCTTGCCTGGTATCCACCTGGCATCGGGGAGCATGCCCTATGTACTTGGTTACCCTTGTGGGCACGTCACCACACCTCCCCAGTGCTGGGGGTCACAGCAGATCCCCTGCAGGGTTCTGTGCAACTTCTGCAGCCACCCCGCTCAACAGCACCTCTGATGTTCAAATCAGTCGTCACACTCGTCGTCTCCCAGAGGCCAGTGCACTATTCCAGAACTACTTTCAATTTTGATACCCACTGAAAGTCACCCCTCCCAGATTCTGCCGAAATTCCTGCCCTGTGTGTCCTGCGCTTGGATGGTCCTTCTGACCCCTTGGCTTGGGAGTCACTTAGCCCTCCTTCTCCCCTGCAGAGTGCTGCACAGTGAGCTGCACCTTCCAGGGACTGGATGCAGCTCCCTTGGCTATGAAAGGCTGCTCTGGGAGCCTTGGGATCTGCTTTGAACACATCACTTGCCATCTAAGTTTTCATGAGCTGGCGATTCTCTCTCCCTCTCCTTTTACACACTTAGCTGATGTAACTATTCTTGGCTTATACTTCACGAATACTAACACTTCCTTTGGTAGAGGAATTGATATACCACACTGGGGAACATTTTATTTTTTTTCCAGAAAGGAAATGGTGCCAGGGAAGATAAAATAGGCACAGCATATCAATATTTAATTTAGGAAGTGTCCCAAGGACTCGTCAGTCTTAGAAATGGTTGAGCTACTAGTTTGAGCTGGCAGATAGATAAGCAAGTTGCTTTGTGTGATCTTTGTGTGACCTTGGTGTGTGGGTTTGGCACCTCCATGTTCACAGCCAAGAACCACATGCCCCCTACCCTTTCTGGTTTGGGTGCTGAAATGGAACCTGGGGCCTCATGTGTGTTAAGCACGTGCTCTACCAATGAGCTACGCCCCGGCCCTAACGCCTTCTATCATAAGCGACTTTGCATTAAGTTCCAGAGGGAAATACAAAGCTACTTGGAGTGGCTCAGAAGAAGCCAGCAGGGAAACAATGTCCCCCAGCCCTGTTGTTACTGAAAACAACTTGGTCGTACACCAGTAGAGTTGGCTGTGAATCATAAAGGCGGTGTGTGTTCACCCGTAATCTTAAAGTCATTGAGGTTCAGGAAGAAACACCCTGAAATCGTGAGTGATTAGCTAGCCAGTGAAACCCCTGCTCCTTCCACTTGCTCGGTGATGGTGGTTCCAAAGCCCATCCTGGCCTCTGTCCTGAATGGATGAGGATGAGGTGGCAACAATCAGCTGTCGTTTTGGGGATTTGCCTTCAGCGTGTTCTCCACTCAGGCCGAGGGTCCTGCAAGCTGGATTCTAGAGCATGCCGAACAGACGGGAGTCACAGTGGCACAGGTGATCTCAGAGGCTCTGAGAGGAGCTCCCTCACCAAGTTCCCGCACTGCAGCCACTGGGAAGGTCACAGGTAACCAAGACCAGGCCACTGTTACCAGCGAGCCCACTTCCCATGCAGCAGCTGCCAGAGTGCTACTCGGCAAGACCTGCTGAGCTTTGCCATCAGCAGTTTTAACTGAAACCCAAAGCTGAGCCCAAAACGGAATAATTGGGTATTTTCCTATTGCATCATAGGACATGTCTAAGTTACCTCCACCTTTCAGCCTGTTAAAACAAACACCACAGTCATGCAACCACCTGTTCATTCTCCAAGTGTTTGAAAAGTAAACATGTGAAACAAGTGCAGTGATGAACTTGAGCAACCGTGGCCAAAGTGCAGTGAGGGCCACAAACGTTTCTCCCAGAATTGGACCAGGTCCCTCGAGTCACCTTCATCACTGAGCCAAGGCACAGGCCATGATGGTGAGAAGATGTTGAAAAGTGCATGCTGGGTGCTGCAGTCTCCGCGGGCTGCAGCCAGGTCCCAAAAAGAGGCGTCAGCGTGCAAGTCTGGTAAAACCTGAGTATCCTGAGAGGCAGGACACCCTCCCCTACAGGGACTGCACTTTACAAACTGCTTTTATTCCACTCTGAGGACCCAAGACACTGATGACCCTGTTTCTTCTACTCATGAGTAAACCTCCTTTCAGACAAAACCACACAAAACGAAAGGCCCCAAGGGAGCATTGTGAACAGCCCAGTTGCCAGATGACATAAGCACTTCAATTTGACCAGAGGTATACACCAGAGCTCAGACCTGGAGGAGGCTCCGGATGAAATGAGAAGCTGCCGTTTGAACGTGAAGACACACAGTCAACTGAATTTGACCAACAGTTACATACTTGTTCTGGTTTCCCATACAAATGCAATGATTTCTGTGCCCTTTCTCTAGATGCAGATTACATCTTTCTTAAATAAAATACTGCTATAAAGTAAAGCTATAATATGGCCATGGACTTCATTAAAAAAAAGATTTTCAAATGGTGCAGCCCAAAGGCTGAGAACTGATATATCTTTGACATGTTGGAACAGCATTGAGGTGTTCAGCAAGCCTTCGTCACCCTTTATGGTAAGAAGCCCAAGGAGGAGGCTTGGGTTTCAACACACTCATTAGTTCCGGTTCCCTTGCTGGCAAAGATGGTAAGAAGTGGTTAGCTGGTCAGCCGGCAGTTAGCAGCAGAAAGGTAAAGATCAGGAGCCAAGACAGCTGCAGACTGGACACTCGGGTTTTGCCTGGCGTGCCTCTGTGCCACGCAGGGTGCCCGAGGCACCAGGATAGTGATGGCCTGTGGGAACAGGGGAGCTGCCTTCTAAAGAAGTCCCAAGAGATACCGGGGTCAGGGTTCCACGGTAAAAGCTGGGAGTCCAGGACTTCTGCGACCCACAGTGGGGAGGCCATACCCTAAGGCATGGGGTGTAAACAGCTGGGAGGTCAAGAAAAGACAAAATTCACATGGCGACAGCCAGAAGGTCGTTGGTGAAGAACTGGTCAGGCCTGGGAGAGTGAAGGTGAGGACCGGGGCTTAGCAATAGGGGGACTGGAGTAGGGACAGGAAATGAGGTGGCCCCAAACCCTTGCCAAGCAAGGGAAGGTTTCAGGACCAAAGATGTGACCCATGCTGAGGGAGCTCTGAGTCTGCTCTGAGGTCTTCTTTTACACTTCCTGAATGGCAGGTTCCGGTGGTAGGATGTGGACATCCTGGGCCCACTGACTTCAGCGTGCAATGTGACAATAACTGGTTGGAGAAGAAAAATATTGTTGCCTACTGGACAGTTTCTTGATAAAAGTAAAAGAAAACCCAACTGAGTCTACAGCTAGGTCACACCAGGTGAGGGCTGTAAGGAAGCAGACTCACACAGGCACAGGGGACAAAGGGAAGGGGCAAGGCTGATTAAGGAGCTGGCCTGCAGACACAGAGGGATCACTTGTTATCCCACCTTGTCATCCCAGCAAATTGGGAGCAGAGGCAGGAGGATCTCAAGTTCAAGGCCAGCCTGGGTAAATCAGCAAGGTCCTACCTCACAATACAAAATGAAAAGGGCTGGTGACGAAGCTCAGGGGTAAAGCACTGGTTCAACCCCCAGTGCTGGGTGGGGAGCATGGCCAAGTGATTAGGACACATGAAACGGGCCAGATGAACGGGTGATGAACAATCAGACTTGCATCTCCCAAAGAGCCTCCTAGTGGTGCTGGAGATACAGGCCACGTGGGAGCAGGCTGGAGACCAAGGTCAAGGGCACCCGAGGCTACCGTGACTGTGCTGAAGGAAAAGATGGCCCAGAGGAGGAGGGCCAGGGGGAAGGTGGGCAGACTGAGAACTAGCCAAGGGGCGGGAGGGACAACATCGGCGACTAGTTACAGAACAAGAGGGAGAAGCAGAAGACAAGGTTGAGTTTCTGGCTTGGCTCATGACACGAATCTAGAATGAGAAGTGGGTCTGAGGACCTGGTTCAGTCTCAAATACCATGAGGCTGCAGTGGCTGGAAAACAGGGAGAGAGAAGGAGAGGAGTCGGATGTGAGGGTGGGTGCTCAGAGAGAGATGTGGCCACAGACCTGGGAGTCGTGAGCACCCTGGTGTCATTTAGAGCAGGGCAGGGGCGAGATGACAGGCGCGT